TCTGTGATAAGAGATATTTAAACTGAACCAGAAATAAAGTATTTTGGATCTAAGAAGGAGCAAATGAAAAAATGAGGAGGCTAAAAGGAGCTGTGTGTGACTTAAAACCCAAAGTGCAGCATGGTCTGGGCACAACAGGAGACCAGAGCTCTGAGAGCTGGGAGAGGAGAGGAGCAGGGTCCATAACGTGAGCTCCCTGGAGGCCGAGGTGACAAGTGTGAGCAGTAGGACTGGCTCATCCCGTGAATTTGGATTTGGGAAGTGGGAGATAATCACTCCAGGACATGTAGCAAAATAAAGACAAATACAGCTCTCTGCAGTGTCTTTGACTTCCAAAGAAAAGATTATAAACATTTTTCCCTTCACCACTTTTTTTGAAGGAGATTATTTCTAAGCTTTTTTCTCTAACATCAAATGATTATGTATAAGATAAACAGATGTATGTGAATGGCCCGTGTAACTACATTTTACACAGGATTGTGTTTTACTGTATTATTTATTTTGTGGAGATTATTAAAATAGCATCAACCACCCTGACCTTAATCACAATTTGTTTTCTTTTTCTTTGCAGCTGTGTTAAAACTCTGTCCAACTGTTTACATTTTTAGCAGCTCTTAAGTGGATGGAAAGTATGTAGGTTTTGAATCTGTGCATTCAACAGAAGCACTGATTTATTTCAGTAATTTAGATTTGAAATGTAATCTCTGTTTTCTTTTCTCCTTTCTCTTTGTTCTCTACTTTCTCCCTTTCTCTGTCCCTCTTCCTTGTCCACACACATGTGCACACATGCACTTGCGGGTACACACACACACACACACACACACACACAGAGCTCTCTTCCGTAGTTCGGTCATCTTAAGTAAAATAAGCTGAAAGCAAGCTTTGAGATTGTTAACACAGCCTCATAGTATGGTGCTGATATCATGCTCCAGTCTGTTTGGCAGGTTGCTGTGTAGTAAGTACAGGGCAGGATAGCTCTACCAGCTGAGCAGTGTGGACAGCCAACACAGAAAAGCAGTATTTGCGTCTGCACACCCGAACCAATTAGTGTTACAAGATCTTAACATGCCCAAGTTTATAAATGAAATAATAGAATCAAAGAACTCCATCTCTCCTGAGTAATATTTCTGGGCTGGAGCTAGTCATCCAGAAAAACCTGGCAGAGAGTTGAGCCAGGATGCCTGTTTGGCACCTTAGAGTGGGCATTTCTTTTTCTCAGGGTTTCAGCTTCCATTTGCCAAGGAAAGGTGGATCCATTGTGCATGTGCCAGGTCCTCTCCCTCCTCAGCCTCTGACTCAGAATGAGGGAAGAGGAAGCCACACAGCTAAGACTTTCCGAGTGTCCTCCAGGGACCGTGCCCTCTAGCGTGTGACCCACTGGAGAACAGAGGTGGACACGGCTTTGTCTGTGCATCAGTGGTTGCACTCCCAGCTTTCTTGCTCTCTGCAGCTGTCCTGGCATCTGCTTTTCCAAGCCTGACTTCTGGCATCTTAATGGCTCTGTGAGACCCTAACATCAATCTAATAATTTCCATTTGCTTAAACAACCTAGAGTCTTTGTTTTTTGCTATCAAATGCCTTGGGATTGTACAATAAGTGTCCCTTGGGTGAATGAATCAGGGAATAAAGACAGCCCAGCTTACTCATACGTTTCAAGTCCTTTATGACTTTCCCTTCCTAGGGTATAATTTGAGAATGGGTCCTTGGAGTTCCTTGGAGCTTTGATAAGTAGGGAATTTTTATATCTCTCATTTTGGAGGCAAACCTGTTTTTTAAAATTTTTAAACTAATGAACTAAATATATATACATATTTATATTTATTAACTAAATATATGCATAACTACATATATATATAATTAAATATATATAACACTATATACATAGCTAAATATATATATATAAAACTATATATAACTAAATATATGTAAATATAGTATGATATTTAAAATTAAGAAAAACATAAAAAGAATGAAAACATATTCATAATTATCATCCTACATAATAAATATCAGTTGACAAGACCATGTTTAGTACCAGAGCGGTATCTACAGGAGGGATGGTATAATTTATATGGTTAATCTCTATTGTTAGACATTTGAACACCTTCCAGTAACTCACTCTTAGAAATAACCCTTCATTTAACACTCTCAGGTTAAGTCTTGAATATATAGCATATGACCTGCTAAGAAGTAGAAATTTTGGGATAAAGAATCTACATGTTTATAATGTTTCACTCATAACAGTAGCTCTTTAAAATAGGATTAAAAAGAATAGCTCTTTCATCATGGGTCTCTTATTCAGCAAAAACCGAAATAAAACAAAACAACACAAAACAAAACAAAAAAAGGTCTATACTTCAAGGTTTACACTGAAGCAGCCTCATGTAAACCACAAGCATTAACTGAGGCCCTTCAATTTTTGATGCACTCAGATAAATACAAAGAAAAAAATGCAAGAAAAATGTATTAATAGCTGCTTCTGTTCAATCCAACCAGATGTTGTACCTGCCTTCTTCTTCTATTTTGCATTTGTGCAAAATAGACTAACAAAATTCTTACTGTGTACCTCGCATAGCCATAATAAAGGGGTGTAAGACCAGTTCTTCATGCTTGAGGATCTCACAATCAGGCGGGCCATGCAGACTCACAAAGAACTCACAAGTAACAGTATACTCGTCACTGCTACAGTAGAAGGAGAAATACAATGTGTTTGGAGCAGAGAGCCAGGAATACTTTCAATCTGTACATGCGAAGTCCTTTTATTCCTTCCCCTCTCGTCGGAGGGCGTTGTTTCAATGGGAAGATGGGAGACAAAGGATCCTAGCGGACTAAAAGGGGGAGAGAGAAACCCCACCAAGGAGTCAAAGGGCCCTGATAAATGATAGGGTTGGCTTCATCTCGAGGGGACATTCTGGTGGTGGAAGTGTCCCGGTGAGCACTGGCACAGAGGAGAAAAGAGGTGTGTGGGGAACAGATCACCTGAAATGCAAGGTTCGGGCATAGAAAAGTGTTTGATCTGAGCTGTCTTGGTGGCTGTGAATAACAAGATAAGGCACTGGTGTGTGACTCCATGAATAAAATAGAGTGTTAGTTATCTATTGCTGCGGCAATAAATTACTTAAGGTAGCTTAAGGCGACATAAATTTATTACCTCACAGTTCTCCAGATCAGATACCTTACTGGATCTCACTGCTTTGAAATCCAAGTGTCTGGTGGTTACATTTCTCTCTGGAAACTTTAGAGGAAAATCTGATTCCTTGCCTTCCCCACCTTGCAGAAACAATCTGTGGCTCATGGCCTCTTTGTACAGCCTTTTTTATTTTTACCAGTCCATGTTTGCAGTACGTAATGATTACCCTCATGGCAGGGAGTTGGTACACACACAGGATGCACCTTAACTCTTTTTATGTCCTCTTCCTCTCCCTGCCTGGGGCAAGTCCTTCTTGGGCCTATCATTTTGACTATCTTTTCTGCCTATCTCTTCCACTTTTCCTCCTTAATAAGGGTGCACCCATCCATATAATCCATGGTAATCCGTCTGTGTTGAGTCTGGATTTGTTCACATCTAAAAAGTTCCTTTTGCCAAGTAAAGTAACATATTCACAGGTTCTGAGGCTTAGCACATGGATACTTTTGAGGTGTTGTTCTGTCCTTCAGGGGGACTCAGGTTATAGGGCAAAAGAGGGACAACTTCGGGTCCCTGTGCAGGAAGACTATGGTGACATCAGTTAGGAGGATGGCTGGAAAGCAACAGCCCAATTACAAGACCTCTGACGATTCCAGAAAAAAAAAAAATGACAAGGCCCCGTGGGATTGAAGAATGAAGTGATGAATCAGAATAGCAGAGCAGGTTGGGGCAATTTGTTGTAGGCAAATGAGGAGGGGGGAACAGGTGTGGGAGTACCAAAGCCAGCGTGGGTTCTGAGCACCTGTGCCTGTGGTATGATAAAGTAAATGGTATCATTGATCAGAAGTATTTGAGTTAGGGAAGTGGGTAGTGGTATATTTAAGTTTGGATCTTAGTATCATTAGAGAAATAACCTATAGCTTCTCTACTTTTAAACGATGACTAGCAACTATAAGATGAAGACAGATTCAAGACATATACACACCCTGGTAAAAATAACAGGGGAGAATGCCCAAGAGTGTGAAATGTTAAGAGAGGGGCATGAAGAAGGTAAAGAAAGCGACATAGCATGCGAAGAGGATCATAGAACAAGGGGTTAAGAAGAAAGAAAAAATGTAGGAATGGAATGGGTGGAGATTCAAGCAGGGAGGAATCTAGACAGGGCCTGGAAAAAGAAGGGAATCAGGGACAGAAATGTCAACTGAGAAAGAAAATGAGGAAAGGACAAACTCAGAGGTTTCTGGCACGAACGGCTGGTCAATTTCAATTTCTGCTTCACTTGAGTTGTACTTACAATTGCAAATTAATAATTTTTGAGATCATCTTGGAAGGTTTATGCACTGTTGGAGGTTAATCAGTGCACACAGCCTCTGTTTTGTTAGGCTTCCAGACAGCCTCAGTGGTCCCTGCAGGGTGAATTATTCACCCGGTAGGCCCACTTGGTAGGTCAGCCATCTCCGGGAAACAAGGCTGTACTCTCTCCTTGCCCTCCCCACATGCCTTGTTTCACTCTTGGATTGTTTTATCCCTGGAATTGGAGGCTTTGGGGAGATAAGGTTTCACTCCTCAGACTGCACCTGGCCAGGTGACACCCAGACCAGAGCTCTAGCAACCCCCAAAACAACTGGAGGCTGACGTTCCCCTTTTACAGGTGGGAGCCTGGAGTCCACTCTGGTCTAATTACACACTCAAGGTCACAGATGGTGCAAGCTGGGAGAACACCTAACAAGGGACCAGGGAAGCAATAAATACGGGCAGGATCACTTAGGAAGACTTCGGGCAGATGGGCATGCTGCCTCTGGCTTGGGCGGCCAGATTTGTCAGGAGCTCACTCTGAACCCTGCCCCACAGCTAAATCTGCCTTGGCGCAGTCAGAGGCAGGAAGTTCGCTCCGGAGGAATATTTTCCCCGAACAGGGACATCTCGAATGCTTTCATGTTTATTATCTCCGAGTAAAGGAAGTGGGTACTCAGAGAGGTTAACCAACATACCCAAGGTGACCCAGGAGCCCGCAGTGAGGCCAGGGCTTGCACCCTTACTTCAACGACAGGGAGGGCACACGCTGGCCAGCCAGGAGAGGTGGGGTGTCTCCAGCCCGCCTCCGCACCCAGTCCCCAAGTGCTCCCGGCAGCCCAGATTGCGTCCTGGGTGCCGGGCGGGGGCGGAAACTCTGGACAGCGGGAACCAGCAGGCCAGCGGCTTGCAGCCCGCGGAGCCCGGCTCAGCCAGGAAGAGGACGATGAGCCGCGCGCCC